TGCTGTTCACTGACTTGGGTGGGACTGCCCCATCTTCAGTGGTCTCCAGGATGCCCATTTTCATGCCAACTTTGGTTTCCAACAAGTCAGCTGCCTAATGCAATTAACACAGAACAATAAACAGATGTAAAAAATAAATAAAATTGACTTTTACTAGTATTGTCAATGTCAAGGAAGTCTCTCCTCTAAAATGTGTCAACACCTATAAAGAAATGTTTGCCAGAATTTTATGAATTCCGCAAATATGAAGCTATTAGTTCACAGACAGGATTAGGAACCTTGTATGAAATAGCTAAAGCTAAACTAACATTGATCAAGTACAGGGCATCATTATAACACTCCTAAAAAAACTTACCACACAAGTCTTCAGAATAGGGGTGTGCTCCCTGATGTAATATGGAAGTCCTTTAAGTGCTGTTATTCTACGATGTTTTGTCATGTCTGTGGTCTATAAGGACAAAACTAAAGTTGAATGGTTCTCTCCCCCACAAGTCTCCCACACACATGACACAACAATAGATTTACAAATTCATACTACAGAACATAATACCTGCTCATCCAGACTTTCTAACAGGGCAGTTATCATATTGCTCTCTTTGGCTCTGTACATCTTGAGGAGAGGTACTGAAAACTTGTCAAGAGAGGCATGGAATGCTGTGTGAAGGTCAATTCCTGTAATTCTCTTAAATTCTGCATACACCTTAGTCAGAGAAACAAACAGACAAAAAGGCATAGAACACATAAATACACAGACTAAAATGCATAAAACACATAAATCAATTTAATAACTGTGATATAAGATACATATTCATAAGTGTATTGTTAATAATGTCAAGTACTGTATTGTTTATAAACAACAATCTGCAGTATTTTGTTATAGAGAACAGATGTATTTGGAAGTGCACTATTTAAACACAGAATTCACACCACAAAGTCAATCACAAAATAATGTTATCCCCTAATTACTACTTTCAACAGCAAAGTTTGACAATTAATTAATCTTACCTGTGGTTCTGTGAAAAGACCTGGCCATCTTTCCATCACCACAGAAACAGGAGGTTCATCATGAACTATCTCTCTCCTTCTCATTGAGAAAGTCATGTCCATCTTTTGGTTAACAAGTGTCATGTTAACATTCTTCTTCCTTAATTCTTCCACAAGGGTTATTCTTTCTCTTTCAAGAGCTTCATCATCAAATCCATGTGGAATATCTGGGAGAAAATTTATCTCAGAATGCCTGGGTTTCTTTACACCTCTCTGTGGCATTTCTTTTTCTCTCTTGTTTACAGAAACTTCTAAGCATCCAGCAGTGCATAATTTTTGTCGATAGTTGCCCATTTTGTATTTCAGGCTCATTTTCCATCCCTGCCAACCCGTTCCAGGGCCTGGCTCTTTTAGACATGGATGCTTGCGAACCAATGCTGCAGCTACACTCTCAAAATCTGCGTCTGTGGGATATGCTTTAAAGGAGTATATACGCTCAGCTACTTTGTCCAGTACTTCCATCTTTATCTCGCGGGAGACAATTAGTGCAGATCTACCAGTTTTTTCATAGACTTCATTTTCTTTTTGCAGTCGAAATTCCACGTCGTATGAAAAGTCTGGTATAGGAAATACAGCTGGCCATTGCTCTGCCCGGGGACAAGAACTGGTTGAGGATGAGGTCCGTGATGACACACTTGCTGTGTCAACAGTGCAATCGGACAAGCTGACCTCATCTTCTGCAGGGGTGAAAACTACCTCCCAGAAAACTTTCAAGGTCACTCTGTCAGCAGGAAGTTCCTTTATGTCCATCAAATTGCATAGAGAATTATCAAAATCTCTAAATCAGTCTTCATATTGGAGAGAAAACCCCTTATCAATCTGCAGTTTGTCACACAAGATGTGTTTTAGTTCCTCTAATGATGAGGGAGTGCTCGGAATACTTAACTTCCGAATGTTGTCTGGACCAAGGATCACTCGAATTAACATTTCGGCAGTTCACAAAAACAAAAAAGCACTGAAAGGTAAGAATAAGAGTTAATATAAATCAATAATCACTCACTTAAACTGCATTAACAAACTAAGAATCGTTTGAGAGATACAAGTAGCTTTCCTCCAATTCTGTATGCTGTTAGAGGGTAGTAATCATTTAGTTCTTGAGGGTGAACAATAACCAAGTCTGAATAGGTGCTCTGAACAACCTCATACGATCGCTGATGCTCAATGTACCATGAACACATTTTTTTCATGACAAAAGAAACATCACCATCTACTATCAAAATGTTCTGTATTTTTCCAAACTCTGGTAAACCAGAACAAGATCCTGCAGACACAATCATCTCATTCATGTATGTGGTTCCATGTATGGAGACTGTGTTTGCTAAAGTCACAACATTCAGGCTTGTATACTGTCTCTCAACTGCAGTCCTCAATTTTGGTTCAAGTGAACACATTTTGACAATTTTCACATTGTTCGCTTGGAGTGTTGGTTTAAAGAAATGTAAAGAATCCAAAAGATAAGCTTCCATGAGCTGGTGTTTGTTTGCCAAAGTGTGCAAAATGTTTTTGAAATTGTGACAATCATGTACTACCTTCTTAAAAAAGCTATGCTTTGCCTCATACCTCATAGTCCACAAGTCTATTAAGGGGCCAAAGCAGCGAATCAGATGTGGGTAGTGCTCGACAAAATGGTGTTTTGGTTTAAGTTTTTCATTTGCAAAAACTTCTCTCAGCAACTGCCTGTGATCAGAAATCTTTGTCTCTAAATAACACAATGTTTCCTCTGAAAATTTAGAAGAACAGACAAGTTCGACAATGTCTTTTAAAGTCATTAATGTCTCCCACACCTTTTCTCTTTCTGGCACAAGATGACCAACAATGAAAGGAATAAGTCTAAGCAGTGTCCAGTTCTCATGTCCATTACCCCCAATAGTCTTTTTTGCTGAGAATTTTTGATGAATTTTTTGTGGGCTGTTCACTCGATCAGAACTATCATATGGAAACGCCAGTATGATATTGTTAAGCATATCCAGTGAAAAATATTTTTCTGAAATCAACCTTTGGAGACAAATGGAAAATTCAAATGGGACAATGCCTTCAAAAAGATCATGCAACAGATCTGGAGGGAATCCTGTTACAGGGTGAAAAAAAGACAGATGTTTTCTTAAGACACATTCTGCATTCACACCGTTGACAAAACTGAGATCCTCATTTGATTTCAACTGATCTACAAAGCTGTCATGCAATTCCACTGTCCTTAACTGAAAAAACCCTTGTCGCACTTCAGTTACTTGAACTTCATTTAAAGCAGCCAAACAAAATCGACAGAATTTTTCCACCCTGAAACTCTCCTGAAAACCTGCGAGTCCGTGTGCACCAAGATTATCAGCAGATACTATAAAAACAGCTCCTTTAATATTTTTGTTCAAGTTTTCCATAAAAAGCCCTTCCTTTTCAAGTATTTTTAAATCAGTGATAAGTGGAGCAAAAAACAAGTCACACCCATATGTCTTCACATCAATACTTTTGCCCAAGAGTGCTACCTGGACAGAATGAAGACAACTTCTGAACTCTGAAGGCCAATTTAGAAGAATCCAGTACACTGCAGTTACTTTGTGTTTCTTCCGGGAAGTTCCAAGTGGATTTGCAATCTCAAATTCATCAATATACAGACCAATTACAAATTTTAACTCCTTACCAGCAAAGAAATGGTTTTGTTTGTAATAACAACCATCTGGGAACGATGTGTAATATCCTTGGGTGTTGTCCCTGGGATTCAAAGTTTGCTTGAAAACATCTGGTTGTGCTAGTAAATTTTTCAAATTCTTCAAAAGTGGGACATAAACAAAAGTTCTTTTCTGTGCTCTGTTAAATACATACTCAATGGGTTCCACTACATCAAAATTGTTTTTAAAATATGCGTTTCTTCTATGGTCTGTGGAAAAGGGTCCTGACTTACCGGTTTTTGAAAAAGGACTAACTTTATGAATGACTTCTGAAATTTCTTCAAGAACAGATTGACTTATGTTACAGTTATGCTTCTTAAATATATCCTCAATAACAGTAACTATATGCGAGCTTGAAAATGAGACAATATCATTAAGATTTTCAATTATCTGCTGTGTGGCACTTTTTGATACATGCAGGACTGTCTGCATGCACAAAAGCAATGATGCAAGCTTGTGTTCTAATTGGGCTTCTAAGTCTTCACTTTCTAGAGGAATATTTGTCTCGATATTTGAGTCACATATATCTATGGGTGTTTCTTCACTTTCAACAAAAGGTCTATTAAGACCTAACAGCCTCCTTAGTAGTCAACAATGATGGTGTAAAATCTTTAACAGAATGATTTTTGTGTTTTTTGTTTCTGTGGACTCTGAAAGTAGTAAGCACATTAGTTTTAAAAGTGCAACTGGGAAAGGGACATTTCACTGTCTCATGATTCTTCAAGTGACCACTCAAGTAACTGAAAAAGGTGCGCTCTTGACAAATATCTTGAAAATCACACAACTCACAAGTAAATGTATTATAATTAGGCTCCTTTGTTTTTGAATGTGTTCTGCTTAAATGAGTTTTTAAAGCACCTACAGTCCGGAATGAACACACACAATTCAGGTATATGCACTGCAGTGCTCTATTGTGCAGTGCTCTAAGTGGTGCCAATGTTTTAATCTGTAATGTTTTAGGAGTACATCTTGTTTTGAGTCTGAAAATTTGCAGTATCTACACTGTATCTTACGGCTCATTCATGCAGTTTCAATGTCCTGTATTGCCAAATAGTTCTCCAGTTATGTTATTCCTTTGCCATGTTTTTATTTCTGCAAACATGAAGCTAAATTGTACATAAATTACACAACAAAATGAAGGTCAAAATTAAATATTTTACCGAATAGGACTATAGTTTTTAAACCATGAACACAGATGACTTACCCAAACGAGGCAGCCTCGATATCACCTCCTTGGTAAGTATGCCCTGTAATGCCAAAGTTACTAATTAAATTGCAGTAAACTCATGTATATCGCAAATGCATTCATGATGACAATAATGCACATAACAACAATCATTTTACGTAGCATTTAAGGACTATTATTTAACTGTTCATTTTCAACGCAGTGTATATATAGTTTTGATTATTATTTTTTTTTATGTCATTTATGGGTACGACGCGTCGATTAAAAATACTGGGGTCGACAATTATTTTGCGTCGACGTCGTCAACTATGTTCATTAATCGCTGCAGCTCTATTTATGGGACTTTGCAAGAAGCTAGTGTCAGTCACTTTGAAAAAAAGCGCAACAAAACTGCATGATAACAGTTACTAATTAACTAACCTTATACAAATAACTGACCATGTCACCTTAATTTGCGATGTACTTCATCCTAACGGTTCAAACTGCAAACCATTGAGGCAAATTATCTTATAAGGTCTGCGTAAAAGGTGCAAAAAATTACTACGGTAATGTTTAGAATACGCATTAGCGTAGAAAAAACAGCAACAATAGGTTATGTTTACTTGGTCTAAACTGTCGAATACTCTAAAGTTGCTGAAATAAAGTTTTGTTCTTACCTCGCAGAGGTGTCCTGCATCCTGTCGTTTAAGTGCGTCTTCAAGTTAAAAGGGCGCGAAATGGCGTCTTTTCTAGATGGTCACCTGTTCGACAGTTAATGCTCACGTGACATTTTACGTCGTACTAAAGAGAGCAAGTCGTTTTTTTGGACCAAAGAACTTTCTTGAATTTACACAAAAAAAAATCTTGAAAATTGA